ATATAACTCTCCCACTCTTACACATGTGCACATAATGTCCAACATTAGGGTCTCAAGGCAGCACGGGCCTTGTCCAGTATTTCCTTTCTCATTTTTGGATAATTTGGGTATGCTGAAAGAACCTGTGGACAAACATACTGATTCCAATCAGAAAACCACACTGAAGATAAAGCAGGACACATTAATCTGTACTACAAATGTCTCACCTTATGGCACACATCAATGGCATCCACGTGCCTCTTTGCTTTCAAGTAGTTGAAAGCAAGCTTGTATCCTGAATGATAAAACACATTAAGATGTTAGAGTTATAGTTTTCTTAAAAACTTTATTTAAAAAAAACTTGACATGCAATTGTGTTTGTTGTACCAATAGTTGGGTTAGTCCGATTTCCAAATTTCCAAGCAAGTTCATAGCTGAGAGCTGCATCACGGAATGCCTGGTCTTTTTCCATTATGTAGCCCTGATATTCGTAAGCTTTGCAGCATGACTGGGAAAACATACATTTCCACATTCAGATTAAGGTTTTAGACTTTGAAATGCACACAACTGCCAGAAAAATAAAAATGAAAATATGATATATGCAAGTTAGTGAACTAGGTTGCCTTAATGTTATATTTAGAGAGTATTACACCGTCTTCAGACTGACCTTGTTATGATTGAGACATCTTTTAAGAAGGTCGCCAGCCATGTCAAACTTCCCTGAATGGATGTATATATCAGCCAGGAGGAGCCAGCTCTTCTCAAACTCATCGGCATCAGCAGTGTTCCAGTTCATCTTTGCTATACGTTTCAGCTGGTTCCTGGCTTTGGGAGTTTGTTTCAGCATCATGTACGCTGTGGCCATGGCCAACAAAGCTGGTACGTGGTCTTTCTGAATGAACCAGGGAATATTAGTGAGACAGGATGATTTTAAAGGGATCCATGATTAGTTGTAACATTAGACTTTATTTGATAAATGTATATTTTAACTGTAAAATAAAGACTGTGAAAATACTGTAGGATGTTTAGTTTTGTAAATTTTTTAAAATATATTTTAACATGGACGGAGCCATTTAATTCACAC